GGTTCACTGTGTCTTTCACATTAGACTGTTTCATAATTATCTGCCACCAGAGCTTTAAAGCAAAACACCGCACCAAAGGAGCAGTATCTATGGTTATAACAATGTTCTCTATCCTGATCTTCACAGAGAATATTACTGATTGGTTTGCAGATAAATATGAACATGCCGTTAACAAAATGTGGTAGTGCTCTCAGGGACGTTTGGTGGTTTTTTCCATCAACTTTTGGTGTAGTGTCCGTTTGATTTCACAGCATTTAGTGTGATTGGCTCCCATTCACCTTAATTATTTTGTTAAATTCTTTGACAGTGAGATATGTTAACTCGGCTTTCTTCCTGTACACGTGCTGCCAAGCCTACTGAGCCTCTCCTGCGATCTCTACTTTTTTGTCTTTTGTCCCTCATCAGATTGTAATGAAACTCGATGATCTTTTCTTGGGTAAAATGATGTAGGTGGTCATCTCTGTTATAACTTGTGAATTGCTTCACATGTAACAAATTTCATCTATACATATGAATAAGTTTTGATTATGGACCAAATTTACTTTCTAAAATTAAAGAACCCCTATAACTTGCCTTAACAACATTGTGGCCACCAGTGAGATTCCAGTTTTCATGACTTAAAAGGTTGTTGAACTTAACATTTAAACTTAATTCAGACAAATACCAATTAACTGGAGAAAACAGAACAGATTGTACTGTTCAGGAGGGGTAAAGAAAGACTAAATAAATTAAATCCCTTGTTTTGCTCGCTTTCACCAGCCAATGGTTGAGTCACCAAGTTGAGCTGGCCATAACTTCAAATCTAGCAAGAATCACAGAGTCAGAGAGTCACTGAGCATGGAAACAGATCCTTTGGTCCAACCAGTCCATGCCAACCAAATTTCCCAAGTAGTAGCCCTCCTCGTAACACAAAATTTCCATTCCCAACAACATCCTTTAAATCTCTTCTGTAACCTGTCCATCTTAATAATATCCTTCCTGCAACAGGGCAACCAAGACTAGACACAGTTGCCAGAAGAGGACTAACCAATATCCTGTACAACCTCAACATAATATCCCAACTCCCATACTCAAAGGTCTGAGTATGATGTCTAGTTATTCTTATTTAAGTTTAAAATGCCAGTCTTGTACTCACTACTCTTTCTCTCAAAATAATGTAAAATTCAATCATTTTATGGCCACTGATGCTTCAGATTATCCCACCTATGGAGTCATTAATGAATCCTAATTTGGGCTAAAATACTAGGTCTGGTTTAGCCTGTTCTTTGATTGAATCCAGAATGTGGAAGTAGAACTTACCCTGCATTAGCACAATTAATTCTAGTGTAAATGTAAGGTACCTTTAGTACTGGAGTAACATGGTTAACTCTCATGTTGTTGTAGGGTTTCATTTGGACTGGAAGTAATATGGTCAGCTCTGGTATCGATGTAGGGTATCACTCAGACTTGAGTAACAGTTAACTCTGGTGTCAAGGCGGGTTGTGACTTGTACCTGAGTAACACGGTCGTGCCAATACAAGATTTAACTTTTTCTGGAGTAACACATTTAATGTTACTACAGTAACATAGTGACCTCCAGTGAAAATATATGATACTACTAATACTGGTAGAACATGCTCACTTGTGGGAGCCGAGGAATGGGATATTACAGATGAGTCAAGAGCAGAGTGAGGATGATAGCGATTGGGAATCTGACTCCAGCAATCCTGTATGAATAGAGAATGTACCACCACAATACTGACAGGTTCCAATTGAAATTTGTGACAAATTGTTTCAATGTATGTGTTCCATCAAATTGCTAAATAGTATTTTCAAACATTTTTCTTCTGAAATATTAGAAAAGCACAAAGAGAATTTGAACTTATTTGTTCAAACACTGTAGCTAATGTCACCAATGATGTAACTTGTCTGATCCACTGGAGGATTGATGTGTGAATAAGTAGAGAATTCCCTGCCCATGTATCAGCCATGCACTAATCAAACACTTTCAGCTTGAATACAGTTCAGAATGGAGCAACAAATTATTCTGCTTGTAAAAGAGAGTTACTACCCAATTCTCTCAGTTGTCGGTATCCCTGGTGAGTTGTTGTAATCTGCATGTTGTGAATCATGCAAAGATTCTCCTTGTTCTACCTGCTTGTTCAATCATGTGATGTGTTTTTGGCGTGATTGTATCATAACTTTTACAATTGTTGGAACCAGCTCATGAACCTCTTGCTGTTGTTTTCCATGTTTCTTTAACCTGGTAAATCTAAATGATGTTATAATGTGCAAGTTTGTGTGCAAGGATTTTAGTATAGTTTAGTACGTGCTAGGAGTTTTGGATCATCCTGTCATTTAGTGCTAACATAGGGATGTAAAATAAACGTGTGGATAGATTTCCCACATGATGGCTACAATAAGAATTTTTCTTAAACTGCTATGTTGAATTTGCATAGAATCAGGTAAAATGCTCTCAATCTGTATCTCCATATATATTTAAGTTAGATTAATAAGAACACAGGAGATAGGAGCAGGAATCTGCCAGACTGCCCTTTGACCCTGTTCAGCCATTCAAAACGACCATGTCTAATCTTGGGATTCAACTCCACTTTCCCACCCATTCCTAGAATCCCTGGATTGCCTGAGGAACCAAATATCTATCTCTCTCTGCCAGTGATAGAACATCCACAAGCTTGTGGAATAAAAACTTCCATAGATTGTCAATACTTTGATGAAGAAATTTTTCATCTGGTTCCTAAATTATTGGCCCTGTAACTGAGACATTCCTAAGTTGTTATTTGCATAGAATCAGGTAAAATGCTCTCAACCTGTATCTCTATATATATCTCAGTTAGACTAATGAGAAAACAAGAGACAGAATCAGGAATACACCATTATGCCTGATGACCTTGTTCAGCCATTCCAAATGATCATGACTGATATTGGGATTCAACTTCAGTTTCTCACCCATTTATAGAATCCTTAGATTACCTGAGAAGCCAAATATCTATCTCTCTCAGCCAATAATAGAACATCCACAATCTTGTGGAATAAAAACTACCACACATTGTCAATCCTTTGATGAAGAATTTTTCATCTTGTTCCCAAATTATTGCCCCCGTATCTGAGACTGTCTTCATATATTCGAGTTTGCCCAGTCAGTGGGAATGCCTTTCTGCATTTATCTATTGAGCCCCTTCAGAAGCTTTGAATATTTCATGAGACAACCTCTCATTCTTTGAAACATTAATGGATATAGTCCAAAATTATGCTACCTTTCTTGTATCCACAGTATTTCACTTTTGCTAACTGTCTGTGTTTCTTGTCCACGTGCACACAGGTCTCTCTAAAAAGTTGCAAGTTTGGTGCCTTTTAAACAAATATTCAGAATTTGTATTGTTAAGACTAAGGTCAATAACCACAAACCTCCCTGCTAAATACTCCAACTGCCAAGTAGTTATCGACTGAATTAACTTGTCTGTGTCTCTATTCAGATTCTTTGAGCTCTCTTTGCAGCTTATGTTTCCAACCAGTTTTGTATTGCTGACAAATGTGGATGAATTATTCTCTGACTCTCTTTTATGTAGTCTGTCAATCACTGAGACCAGCACTCCACTTGTCATGGCCTGCCAATGTAAAAATGCTTCATTTTTTCTTACTTTACCTTCCCCAGATGGGGAAATTTGAATTCAATAAATATCTGGAATTAAAGAAAAGGCGAACCAGTGTTTAAAGTATTACCATTGATTCAGCAAGCCCTACTTTTAAATAAAAACTGAAAGAACTGCGGATGCTGTAAATCAGGAACAAAAACACAAGTTTCTGGAAAAGCTTTGCATTTCTGGCAGCATCTGCAGAGAAAAAAATCAGGATTAATGCTTCAGGTCTGGTGACCCTTCCTCAGAACTGGCCCTAATTTAACTTACTTAAGTCTGTTCAGATGATAATAGTTTGTTTAATTTCCTTACTTTTAATAGGCACTAGGCTATTTCTTATTTTTGATATGAAATGTTTACTGTAAAGAGAGACACAAAAGGTTGTTCAATATTTCTGCCATTTGCTGATATCCATGATAATTTGAATGCTGCTTTCTTATGAAGGGACGAATGTACAATTTAATTGCTCTGTTTCTTGTGATATCCCGTTGAAGGTCATGATCATCTGTTATTATGTTCATAGCCAATTTAAACTCATATTGCTGGATTGTCCATCTTTATCAGCTTTTGGTGGCCACCAGCTAGATTCTGAAAGATTCCTAATCCTCCATTCTTCTTTAATTCATTGCAACCTGCCTCACAGCACCAGGGACCCGGGTTCGATTCCAGCCTCGGGTGGCTGTCTGTGTGGAGTTTGCACATTCTCCCCGGTGTCTGTGTGGGTTTCCTCCGGGTGCTCCGGTTTCCTCCCACAGTCCAAAGATGTGCAGGTTAGTTGGATTGGCCATGCTAAATTGCCTGTTGTGTTCAGGGATGTGTAAATTAGGAGGGTTATAGGGGGACGGGTCTGGGTGGGATGCTCCAAGGGTCGGTGTGGACTTGTTGGGCTGAAGGGCCCGTTTGCACACTGTAGGGATTCTATGATTCTATTTTAATACTAACATAACCTCATGCTATGCTTAATGGTGGTGATGGTGTACTGGCGATATGATTAGATTAGAAATCCAAAATCTCAAACTATAGTTCTGGGGACATGGGTCTGCATCCCACCACGGCAGATGGAGAAGCTTTAATTCAATAAACCTCTAGTATTTTAAAAATGTGAACCTAATAGTTACCATGTAATCAATGTCATTTTAAAAAAACGTCATAATCTGGTCTGGCAGACATTTGACTCCACACCCGCAGCAAAATGCTGAACTCTGAAATGTTCTCTGGTCAGTCTGAAATGGGGAATACTTGCTGGTGTAGTTGGAATGGAATAGTTTCAATGGAATGTATTCTTGTTGTTTCTTATTGTTTAATTCAAACAATATCTTTTAGATCATGGTGCTTGTTATCTCTCCTTTCTCTTTCTTACAGTGAACCTAATAACAATTGTAATTCTCTCACGAGGGCAGTGTGGTCTTTCAAAGTGCATCTCTGTCTACATGGTGGCTATGGCAACAGCAAACCTATTGGTTTTGACCATTAATATAATGGTGTATTATATTTTCAGTTATCATTTTCCACATTCACTCCTGTCTCACACTCCTGTGTGTACTTTCATTTTGTATATGACTGTTGTCAGCCTTGATTTAACAATTTGGTTCACTGTGTCCTTCACATTTGACCGTTTTATAATTATGTGCCACCAGAGATTTAAAGCAACATACTGCACCAAGAGAACAGCGTCAATGGTTATAACAATGTTCTCTATCCTGATATTTGTAAAGAATATTACTGTTTGGTTTGCATATGAACATGAAAATGTAATTAACAAAACGCAGTGGGGCTGTCGGGGAAGTTTGGCATTTTTTTCCTCAACCTTTGGTGTTGTGTCTGTCTGGTTTCATAGCATTTGGCAAGTTTGGCTCCCATTCGCTTTAATCATTTTGTTAAATTCTTTGACAGTGAGATGTGTTCTAGTGGCCACTAGAGCCCGTAGATCTCTCCGGGGACACACACATGAGAATGAGAGAGATTCAGAGATAGAGAGCAGAAGGAAATCCATCATTTTACTCTTCACTATATCGGGCAGTTTCATATTGCTATGGCTGACAGCAAATGTAAGCTTTGTTACGACAAAAGTAACAAACACAACTTACTATCGAGGAGACCGTACATCACCTGTGTACATCGCCACTGAGTCTGGAGCGATGATAAAACATTTGAATTCCTGCACAAACACATGTATTTATGCAGCTACTCAGAAAAATTTCAGGGAAGAGTTTAAGAAGGTTCTGAAATTTCCCTGGGCATTGATTGAAAGATTTTTGAAAAATGAGCAACTTCAATTGAGACCTTGTTTGAGAGACTAGATTTCCATTTCAGCTCCTGCTTGCTGAGGCTCAATTTTCCTTCTTTGGCCATTTTAAGTTGCCTTCTGAAACAATCCAGAGGTGTATGATTATATTTGGTCTTTAGTTATGGATTTATAAGTCACAACCTTCTTAATAACAATAACGCTGCTTATGATTCATGGAATTCTATTGAGATGCTTCAATGTGTGGTTTCTGCCTCTCCTCAACTTTGTGTTGTCCAAGCTCCATCCTTCTTCCTAGAATGCTATCTGGTGTCAAAGACCATCCCATGTCCTTGAATGCATGCCAACAGGAATCAATCAGTAAAAATAATCTTAGCTGTAATTGGAAAAGAATTTATTGTGTATGCTGGAGTCCCATTGTGAAGTCTAGTAGATGATGTGAACAGTATGCAGTATCCATCAGCCTTGCTGGTTCCTGCCCTCCGAGATCTCTGTGTTTTCATTCACATTCCTCTGGACTGGAGAGAGTGTTCTGAAGTTAAAGGGAACCCGATCTTATTTTTATGCAACCATGCAACTTTGGCTTTTTTTCATGGATGTGTAGTCTACACATCCAACTGACATCACAGTTACACCTTTCAGAATTTGTCTCTGTACGAGGAATTCTGGTTATGATGCAGTTATTGCTTAGGCAAATCTTTATCCCCTTCCCTAGAGTTATTTTTGATATTTACCAAACAAGACTAAGTTGCCATTCTCTTTGACTTTCTCAAATACTGAAACTGTTAAAGGAACTGAATGCCAGAAGATTGTTTATTGTATCATTTTGATAACGTCTACTAATTTTTCATTACTTTTACTTTAATTCTTCCAAAATTTTATTTTTGGACTGAAGACAACAGTTTGTTTTAAAAGGAAAACAGAGCAAACAACTTTAGCTTATTTGTGAGTCCAGACCTGGAAGTAAATTGCATTTTGGTTCCTGATCTAAAAGCTCTGCAGATGCTTCATCACTGGCGAAGAGCATTATGATTAAACAGATAGCAGGCTTTGGTTGTTAATGAGATCAGTAATTGGGAATTGGTTCCAACAAGTCTGGAAAAGATCTTTTGCTCAAGCAGATGGCAGACGTTGAATGACAAGTTGGACCTCATGAAGGAAACCCTCAGTTTGTTAGAGAGTGGTCAGAAATAAAAACAGTAATTGTTGGCAAATCTCAGCATGTCTGCCAGCCTCTGTGGGAAGAAAATGAAGTTAACATTTCAAGTCTGGTGACACTTCACCAGGACATCACTTTGTTTTATTTCAGGCAGTGGTCAGAGTTTAAATTGAGTTTTGGACTGGGTTTTCTGTCCAAGAAATAATCTGGCTGTTGACGCTACAGCGTGAAGATTTGAAAGCTCCCTGTCTAACCTCCCATGAGCATCTCTTGGGAGTTCAGAGATACAAAACTAACTTAGAAGTATTACTACCATTATCTGAGCAAACTGTAAATGTGACCCTGATTGATATCTTCTGAAAATCAACCAAGCAAGTATAGTCTATGCCTGTGGAGTAATGCAGTGTGTAAACCATTGAACTTATCTGGCTGGTTTTATTCTTTCCTTTTATTTATCCCTTAACAGTGATTATTTATTTGTCTTTTGTGTAAATAGGGCTGAAAACAAAGGCAGTATTATTTGAATCTTTATCCCATTCCCTAAAACTGTTGTTGACATTTCCAAGACCAAGTTACCATTCTCTTTAACTTGCTTAATGACTGAAACTGCTAAAGGAACTGAATGCCAAGAGATTAACTTTTTGTATCACATTAAAAATGTTAGAGCCCTCTAACATAGACCAATTGGTCTATGTTATCTAATTTTGCTCTGCTAACTTTACAGTGTGGTGAAGAAATTGTGAAGACTTTTGATTAAGCTACAGTCCTGGGGTCAAGAATAGATTATTCACAGAGTCAGGGATTGATTATTCAAGAAATCTGGTTTGGAACCATTGCAGTCAACTTTGAGCATCCTGGAAGGTTTTAATTTTACTTTGCTGTGAATGCAGAGGTAGAAAGGCTGGTTTGGTTCGGCTGTCAATCTCCATTTTATGCACGAGTAGAGGGGCTCATTGTCAGGTTATCAATGGGTCACTAAGCACTGTCCAGGGGTCACTGAGAAGCAGTTCCAGGGTCCCGGTTTAGTTGAACAGAAAGAGGGGCAGACTCTGTCTTGGAGTCTAGAGGAGCTGACAGATTGGGAAGCAGAGTTTCTGGAATGTGTTTGTCAGTAACTGTGTGGGGGAGGCAGTATTGCTCAGAAGAAGCTTGAGACATGGACATTTGAGCGCACTGAGAGAATGGGCATTGAAAAATCCCATAAGCAGTTATAGCTTCTTACAGCTGAGGAAGCTATAGCTCAGGTATAAACCAAGCATTTGTTTCATCTAGCTGCAGGGGAAAAGCTGGACTCTTCCCTGTGAATAAGGTCTGGAATGTAATTTACAGTCATGTGGACCATGAACCCAGGACATAAGGATGATCAGTCAATGACAGGAGCAGTTGATGTGACAGTCCATGATAGAAAGACTCTTCAGAGCAGGCTTCAAGGCTGGATCAACAAAAGTAAAAAAATTATGTTTTGTTGTGAAGTTTAATGATACTTGATGGCCCACCATGTCATTCATATCTGGAATGATCCAGTACTGATTCTTGTAGCATACTGCTGGTCACAGGCCTTCAATCTGAGAAACAATCCTCCATAACTATCCTCTGTCTCCTACCTTCAAGCCAATTTTGTATCCAAATGGCTAGCTGTCCCTGGATTCCATGTAATCTAACCAGTCTACCATATGGAACCTTGTTGAACATCTTGCTGAGGTCCACATAGACAACGTCCACTGATCTGCCTTTATCAATCTTCTTTGTCACTTCTTTGAAAATCTCAATCAAGTTAGTGAGACACAATTTCCCATGCACAAACCCATGTTGACTATCCCTAATCAGTCCTTGTCTTTCCAAATACATCCCTCAAAATCGCTTCCAACAACTTACCCACCACCAATGTCACGCTCATCGGTCTATAGTTCCCTGCCTTTTCCTTACCACCTTTCTTAAATAGTGACACCATGTTAGCCAACCTTCAGCCTTCCCACAACTCACCCATGACTATCGATGATAAAAATATCTCAGCAAGTGGGCCCAGCAATCTCAGCCTTGCCTTTCACACTAATAGGGACATGCTGCCTCTGGGGTCTCATTATCTGAAGGCCTCTCACTTTCCTACTGCCCCTTTACTGTGAGTAGCCTCTCCCAATCAACTTTTGAAAGCTCATCCTTAATACCATCAAAATTGGCCTTACTCCAATTTAGAAATTTAACTTTTAGATCAGGTCTATCCTTTTCTATAACTATTTTAAAACAAATGTAATTATGATCCCTGGCCCCAAAGTGCACCCCACTGACACCTCAGTTACTTGCCCTCCCTTATTTCCCTAGAGAAGGTCAAGTTTCATTCTCTCTCTAGTTGGTACATTCACAAACTGAATAAGACAATTTTCTTGTACACACTTAACAAACTCCTCTCCATCCAAGTCCTTAACACTATGGCAATCCCAGTCTATGTTTGGAAAGTTAAAATCCCTTACCATTACAACTCTATTATTCTAACAGATATCTGAACTCTCCTTACAAATTTGCTTCTCAATTTCCCGCTGACTATTGGGAGGTCTATGGTACAATCCAAATAAGGTTATCATCCCTTTCTTATTTCTCAGTTTCAGCCATATAACTTCATTGGACATACTCTCAGGAATATCCTCCCTGAGTACAGCCTTAATGTTATCATTAACCAAAAACGTTGTTTCCCTTCTCTCTTGCTTCTCGTTTCTAATCTATATCCTGGAAAATAAAGCTGTCAGTCCCACCCTTCCCTCAGTCAGGTTTCTAAAATTGCCTTGATATCTCAGCCCTGTGTTCCTGAGTTCATCTGCCTTACCTGTCTGGTCTCTTGCATTGAAATAAATCCAATTTAACAGGCTTACCTCATTCTCTGCTTTGATCTTGCCTACCTTGACTATTTGCTTCTCTTCTCAACTGTACCAGACTCAGACTTATCTCTTTTTTCATTATGACTTCCCCTACCCCAACACTAGTTTAAAGCCTCCCGAGTAGCACTAGCAAATCTTCCCGCCAGGATATTGGTCACCTTCTAATTCAGGTGCAACCCATCCTTCTTATATCAGTCACTTCTACCTTAGAAGAGATCCTAACACTCTGAAAATGTGAATCCCTGTCCCCTGCACCAGTTCCTCAGCCAAGTATTCATCTGCTGTATCCTCCTATTCCTAATGTCACTAGCGTGTGGCACCAGGAGCAATCCAGATATCGCTACAAACTCAGCTTTCATTGTACACATGCTGCCAGACCTGCTGAGTCTCTCAGTAATTTCTATTTTTGTTCTTGGTCCCTAGTCAGATTGTAATACAACTTGGTGATCTCTTCCTGAGTAACCTAATGTTGGTGGTCAGCTCTGGTGTAACATGTAAATCGCTTCACATTGTAACAAATTACATCTACACACATGAATAAATATTGATTATAGACAAACGTATTGTCTAAAATTAAATAAACCCTTCTACTTATCATAACAATATTGTGGCCACAAATGAAGTTCCAGTTCTCATAAATCAACAGGTTGTTAAACTTAATTCGGTGAAATACCAATTAACTAGAGAAATCAGAACAGTTTGGTCTATGACAGAGGGGAAAGAAAGAATAGATGAATTACATCTCACGTTGTGCCTGCTTTCACAGTGTATTCCAGATCATATATTGCTGCATAATATTTTTCTTCGTGCCACGCCTAATTATTTTGCCATTCATCTGAAATCTCTCTCCTCTGCTCTTGTTGGAAACAATTCCTCCTTACTTCTTCTGTCAACATTCTTGGGATTTAACCTGCTGGTATTTGTACATTATGCCTCTATTTCCAAAAGGTTGGCTCCCATATGTGTAGTAATTGCTTTTTAACCTACCCTGCCACCTTCAAAAATGTTTTCATAAACATTTCCAGA